GATATATATATATATATATATATATATATATATATATATATATATATATATATATATATATATATATATATATATATATATATATATAGGCCTATATATGTGTCACTTAACTTTATCCAGAAACCTTCGAATCTGTATATTTTATTGGTATTAATAAATATTTAATTTAAAGTTGTAACTAGGGACCTTATATTAAAAGCCTTTTGGTTTCTAGAAAATTCCTAACCTTTTTAATTTAAATATCATTTACCTCATGATTTATATAATGTAATATGGGCGAATTAGTAAATAAAAATAAAATAAAAATAGGTACGCGACGCGTACATGTATCAGCGAAAAAAACTTGATTCACATTTTGTATTTTCCCGAAAGAAACTGAATAATGAAGATGACAGGAGACAATTGAAATGTTTCATCACTTATTATAATAGCAGATAAGATTTAAAACAGGGCTGTACACAGCGGGGAGAACGACAGGGCAAGTGCTACCCCCCCCCCCCTCGCACCGACAAAATTTAACTAACTTTATAATGTGATTATGATTGTAGCAGTTAATTATGCAGTCAGGAAATAAAAATTTCATGTAAACAATATTCAAAGTGTCATTACAGCCACCTATTTAGTAAACTGTTACCTGTCAATTCAATCCATACTCATCAAATTTTCAAAACTTTATTGTCCCCGAGCCGACGGCGCGAAGCGCCGTGCGAGGGTACTAATTCCCCCCGGCTATTTACACCCGGGGAAACGAAAGCATTAGCGGAGTCTAAAGTTCATCAAATATCGCGGGCGTGGGTGACCAACGATGGGTGGTCATCCTCACTGATCTCAAAAATATGGCGGACTGTCATGAATAGCGGACACTGATTGGTCCAATTTAAATTTTGCATTATAACGACTGGCACGAATGTATCACGACAGCGAAATAGCAAACATTTCTTGATTTGATGATTGATAAATTTCTTGCAAATATATTTCATTTTTACTCGCATTTTTGCAAGATTTTGTAAATTTCAAAAGCTCTCTCAAAATGAAACTGCGAAAGAATCGTCTAAAAGAAGGGAGCCGACGTTAACGAAGGTAAGTTTGTTTTAAATATTGATTTTATAATGGCTTTAAAACCCGACGGCCTTTGCGTATATGAAACAACTAAACAAACAGCATATAATTTTAGTGTATCTTTAATATTGATTCCCTTTTTTATGATATTGAATTTCTAAATAAAAAAGAAAGCACTGAGTTATTTGCAAGCCAGAATTTGAAATCATTTTATTGCTAACTCAAAGTTTATCGATAAAGCCATTTTAAGAGGCAGTTTAGTTTTATAATGAACACTAGTGACTTTAAAACGTTTTGCGAAGCGTTTGTGGTTGAATTTTACCTTAAATTGAGGCTTATATTACGTATAAAAACATACCTAACATATAGTTATGTTGGGAAATTAATAATTTTGTAATTAAAAGTGAT